CATGGGGTTTAGATCCAAGTGAGGAGCTGGCCTCAGGTGAGAAACAGGGAAACTTCTTCCTTCATCAGAGAAGTGAAACAATATGTGCATACATAAGGAGGTATGTCGGTACATTGGGTGTTGGGAAGAGATTTCTCTTTCTTGATTGCTACTGGTCTCAGTGCAGTAATTAACTTGAAAATGAGGTGAGAATGGAAGTTTGAAGAATGTGCAAGCCATCTTGCAGAGTAATAAATTTCCCAATTATACACATTTGTGAGACTTAAATTTGTCACATTTTTACATTATCTACAAATTGTTATTAATATTTAAATATATAAACACAATGATGTTTAAACTGCTTTGTTCGTTGGCAGATAGCATTGCCACACAGTAGTATCAGCTGACACCTGGGTATTTGAGTTCAATGCAGTTATGGAATGTTGATATAATAATAGGGCTTATGAATTCCCTCTCATACAAGTATTGCAACAAAGGCCTAACATTTTTAAGAATTGTAACTTTAAGTCACATAACTACAAATTAAAGAAAGAAAAAATATAATCTCAATAGATAAAACAAAAAGTTTAATAAAAATTTAATATCCATGTTGACTATCATATGAAATGGTGAAACTTCAAAGATATGAGCAAAGATCACCACTGTTCAGTATTTCTATTCAACATTTACTCAGAGACCCAGCCAGTATAGTAAAATAAGAGAAATAATCTACAAATAAATTATTAGAATTAGTGAGATTTTAGCAAGATGTTAAATATAAGAATATACACAGATATAGAGTCCATTCCTCTTCCCCAGCAACAGTTAGAAAACTTTAAAAAATACTATTATTGGAAAACAGTGTGGAGATTCCTTAAGAAATTAAAAAATAGAACTACCCTATGACCCTGCAATTGCACTGCTGGGTATTTACCCCAAAGATACAGAGGTTGTAAAAAGAAGGGTCATCTGTACCCCAATGTCCATAATTGCCAAACTATGGAAAGAGCCAAGATGCCCTTCAACAAACAAATGGATAAAGAAGATATGGTCCATATATAAAATGGAGTATTATGCCTCCATCAGAAAGGATGAATACCCAACTTTTGTGTCAACATGGACGGGACTGGAAGAGATGATGCTGAGTGAAATAAGTCAAGCAGAGAGAGTCAATTATCATATGATTTCACTATTTGCAGAACATAAGGAATAACATGGAGGACATTAGAAGAAGGAAAGAGAAAGGGAATTGGGGGAAATCGGAAGGGGAGATGAACCAGAAGAGACTGTGGCCTCTGAGAAACAAACTGATGGTTTTGGAGGGGAGGGAGTGGGGCATTGGTTGAGACGGGTGGTGGGTATTAAGGTGGGCATGTATTGCATGGAGCACTGGGTGTGGTGCATAAACAATGAATCTTGAAACACTGAAAAATAAAATTTAAATAAATAAATAAATAAATAAATAAAAATACTATTTATAATACAACCAACAACCAAATTAAGCCCCTAGGAATAAATTTAACAAAAGACTGAGGGTTTTGGAGGGGATGAGGGTGGGGGGGGGTTGGCTGAACCTGGTGGTGGGTATTATGGAGAGCACATATTGCATGGAGCACTGGGTATGGTGCATAAGCAATGAATTTTGGAACACTGAAAAAAATTAAATTTTTAAAAAATCTAACAAAAGATTTGCAAAGTTTTCTTGAAAAAAATTTTTATTAACAAAGACCTAAATAAATGGTGAGATATTTTATATTCATAGATAGGTGTACTCAATATCAAAAAATTATCAACTCTCCCCTATTAGTCTATAAATCCAATATGGTTTTAGTCAAAATCCCGTAAGAATTTTTTGTAGGATTTGATTGATGAAAAGTGATTTTAAAAGGAATGTGGAAGAACAAAGGACTGATATCAAAACAGTTTTCAAGAACAAGTTGCAGGAGGTGGGAGAACAGTGGCATGTGGAAGGGAGAACTTGCCCTACCTGATATCATAACTTATTATTAAAGCTACAGTAATTTAGTCAGTGTCACACTCATTCACAGGAAGACAAAGAGGAGGCCAGTGGAAATAGAAGATAACCTAGACTCAGATCTCAGTATATTTTGAATCTTGAAGTTTGAGAAATTGATTATAGATGGAAGATCACTAAGGAAAGGATGAAATACTCAATAAACGGTACTGGTACAATTGGTTATCCAAATGGAAAACAAAATAAAACCGCTCCTTCACACCAGTGTGCAAACACACAAAAGAATGAAATTCCAATTGAAGACCTAACTATGAACATCAAAATGTTAAATATGAGAACATTTATGAGATTATTTCATGATCTCCTGAAGGGAGAGGAGAAGGATCTCCTGAACACTGAAAGAAATAAGAAAGTATTGATGAATATGACTACATTAAAACTGCAAGTTTGTATTAATCAAAAGTTATGTTCAACAAAATGAGAAAGTAAGCTACAGGCTGAGAGAAGAGATCTGTATTACATAGAATGAGCAAAATACAAGTATCAGGAGTATGTATAAAAACTTTTATGTACAACTCAGTAAGAAAAGCTCAGGAGAATATTGGGCAGAAGATAAGAGCCAGAGATTCACATATAGATGTCAGATAATGGTATGAATAGATAATCATTCCTCCTTAGTAATCAGAAATATTCAAATTGAAGATACAATTTATCATTTTCCACAGTGAGATGGAAATATTTTAAGTCTGACAGTACCAAGCATTACAGAAGATTTGGAGTAATTAGACTCAAACATTGCTGTGGAAATGTAAATTGGCAAAACTACTTTGGAGAACAATTTGACAATATCTTGTCTACTTGAAGATGTGTATATTCTATAACTCAGCAACTTAACTTCAAGAGTTATACCCTAAAAAACAGAACAAAACTTTGACATGGCACATAGAGAGATGCACAAGGTATTTATTGCATTATCCATAAAAGAAAAAAAACCCACACCAAAAATTCATCAGTAGGGAAGGGTTTAAATAAGTTACGATTTGGTAAGAAAATGGAATCCTATAGAATTAAAACCAGAAAATGAATGGATTAAAGACCGATTGATATCAAAAACAAAATGTGTGTTAAAATGGAATCCTGTAGAATTAAAACCAGAGAATGAATGGATTAAAGACCGATTGATTTCAAAAACAAAATGTGTGTTTACAAAGTTTCAAAAGAATACATAAAGTACGCTTATTTAAAGTTTGAAAAGATGCAAAATAACCATATGTTGCAAATGGAGTGAAAGTATAAAGAAATGCATGGGAATGATAAACAAATTGAGGGCAATGCTTGCACCTGAGTAAAGAGAGAGGGTGACATATTTGGAAAGGTATGCGTAAAGGGACTTCAAATATGTACATATGTATATTGCTTCTTTTTCTTCAAGTAGGTGCTGGGTACAAGGGTATTTTTTGTACCTTCTAATATTTTTATATATATTTGAATATTACATAATACGCCTGAAAAAAGCAACAGTAGTAGTGATAACTGAGTTCAGCTCTTCAGTGTAAGTCCAATTCTTTCTAATAAGTATTACATGCATTATCTCATTTAATATTAGTAACCTTCTGAAAGGTATTATTTTACCTCTTTTATCTAATGGGAAACTGGACCTTTAGAAGTTAAATGATCTACTTATGGTCGTATTGCAGTAAGGTGACAGAGCCAGAATATGAAACGAGCAGTCTGACTTTTAAAAGTTCACACCATTAATCTCTAATGAAAGTTAATCTGCCTCCTTTTAAAACTCCACATTAACCACAAAGAAATCGCGGGTTAGTGCAACTATCATTTCAACCTCTGGATGCAGCTAGAACTACAGCAATAGAACTTAACCATTTTGGCTTCTAAATTCAGTGACTTCAGGAGGCTAGAAGAGCATTTGCTCAGGAATAGAAGGCATGAGTCATTTCCTTAGGTATCTGTTTATTCGTTTAACAAATATTTATCAAGAGCCTACATAGCACAGTGGTAAACCACAATTTATTTCTTGTCTACATAATTTTTGCAGTTTGCCAAGCTTTGGGACACAAATTTGAGATTTCCATGTTCATTTCCAGCTAATGCAAGGAGTGCCATGATTAATTATTAGCCATTTTAGAACTTGCATCATCTGGTTTACTGTGGATCTCATTTAAGCCTAATTATTGTTGACCTGCAAATTCACATGACATCTAAAGTACTTTAGCCAATTTTTACTTTAAAAAATATGTATTAAAAACTTCTGTGTTTGTCTAAATAAAATACTGATTGAAATGAAAATATTGTTTTAAACAGTTTAATGTGACTACCTCCTTTTTCTCCATGTATTTCCCTCTCTCCTTTTTTCCACAGATCAAAGAAAATCTCCTAACCTACTCCAATAAGATTTTGAGAGTCTTCTTGACCATTTTTAGATATATTTTATAATCCTGTATATTCACTAAGATATTGAACCCACAGCAGCTCATAGAACTGCTAAAATGGATGCCCGGGGTTTAATTATAGTCTCACCAATTAAAATAGTTACACTGAAACCAAGTAATTTTCTTCCTATAATAAAGAACAGTTTAATTTTATCTATCTTGGCTGGTTTGTATATGTAAATTTCACTCACTAGTAACAGCTAGACCTCTAAATCATTGTGACCTATTTTTAAATAACTACACAGGGGCGCCTGGGTGTCTCATTTGGTTGAGCCTCAGACTCTAGGTTTTGGCTCAGGTCATGATCCCAGGGTTGAGAGATGGAACCCACGTGGGGCTAGGCATTTGGTGCAGAATCTGCTTGAGATTCTTTCCCTAGCTCTCTTGCCCTCCCCCAACTCGTGCATGCGTGCTCTCTCTAAAACAAATAAATAAAATCTTTAAAAATAAATGCACAAGCACGATATTTATTGTTGAAAACAATCCTCATTTTTACATAGTGTTCGATTCAGTGATTATGTGATGTAAGTATTTAAACACTCCTATCTATTCCTTTCCTTAACTGTTGATTTTCTTTTTTTATGTTGAATATCCAGGGACCTGAAGGAATTGTGGGAATTCCAGGACAAAGAGGTCGTCCCGGGAAAAAGGTAATTTTTTTTAACATCTTTTTATTTTTTTTAACATCTTTTTTTTTTTTTTACATCTTTTTCTGGCACATCTTTCTTCTGATGTGCCCCAAGTTCCATAGAATGCTGTGATGTTTTTATTTGCACTAGATATAAAGTAATAAAGAACTATATATTGATCTTAAAAGGTATGTTTGTATAAATTAATATTTAACTCTACTTAGGAGTACCCCTCACCTTAATTATTTAAAGACAAATTTCCTACTTTGTAGTTTCTATAAAGATCTTTGCTTTTCCTTCTCCTGTTTGCCAAAAATTTAGTAGACTATGGGCAGGAAAAGAGAAAAGGAAAACACTATACCATTTGTGGTAATGATTGATTTTAGCTTTCCCATATATTGAGTAAGAAACACGAATCAAGAATGTGGTTTATTTGTTTCTTTTATATTTTACTAAAAGATGATATATTTATAAGATACTAGAATGTTATAATGAAAAAATCATCTCTGTATGGGGTCAATAATTTATTCAACTATTGGTGAGACAGAAATGATTTTCTTAATTCTACCACAACAGTTCTAAATATATTACTATACTTAGCTTCAAATCATACCATACCTAGTTCCCAAAGTCTAATTTCATCATTTCTGCTAATATATACTCAATCTTTGTCGTAAGGTAGGGACAGTATAAGTGAGAATAAAAGGTAAAGAAAAAATGAATGAGGTAAATTTTAGTAGCCATTCTTTTTTTTTTTTTTTAGTGTTTCCATTTTTTATTTAAATCTAGTTAATTAACATAGTGTGATACTAGTTTCAGGAGTAGAATTCAGTGATTCATCTCTAATATACTTAGTAACTATTCTTGTCTATGAAAATAACCCCAATATTTGAAGACTCTTTTCATCATACATAATGTTATATCTAAAATGAACATTAGGAGTAGGACAGTGTAAATCCTTACAATAACCTGCACCCCTGGGAATTATTATGACTACCAAAAACTTCCTGACTGTGATCACAGTTTAATTTTTCTTTTTATCTACTTGAATATCAATAATAGAACAGGTTGGTTCCCACTTTCAGAAAACGAATTATAGTACTTAAAGTTGCTTCAAAGCAGCTGTATTTTGGTGGTAGAGAATGATCAGTCAGCTTAATGGAAAACAGAAAGCAACTAACTAATTTTTAAAAGGATGCAAAATTATATAAAAAATATTATTGATTAAAAAAATTTTGGATTTTAAAGGCAGACTCCAAACCAGTGAATGATGATTCTGAATATATAGAACCGTACACTGAAAACTTCGCCTTAAAGAGATCTTTGTGGCATCAAAGTTGTCTATAGAAACAGGCTTCTCATAGGGCCTGTGTTTCCTCATGATAACAAGAAATATGTGAATGCATGAGAACATTCGTACATAACAAATTTCAAGATAAAAAACTTATTTTGTAATTCAGCATGAACACCAGATCTCCCCTGGGTGTTTAACCAAAATTGTTTTTATTTTATTTTATTTTATTTTATTTTATTTTTTCAGTGTTCCAAGATTCATTGTCCATGCACCACACCCAGTGTTCCATGCAGTATGTGCCCCCCTCATTACCCACCACCAGGCTCACCCATACCCCCACCCTCCTCCCCACCAAAACACTCGGTTGTTTCTCAGAGTCCAGAGTCTCACATGGTTCACCTCCCCCTCCAATTTCCCCCAATTTGCTTTTCCTTTCTTTCCCCTAATGTCCTCCATCTTATTCCTTATTCTCCACAAGTAAGTAAAACCATATGATAATCGCCAAACTGTGGAAGGAGCCAAGATGTCCTTCAATAGATGAATGGATAAAGAAGATGTGATTCATATGTACCAAAATTGTTTTTTAAATGTTCTTTCTCTTAAATTACTTTAAGTTATATCTTTAGGATAACCTAGGTAGTGATGGTGTGTTATTGTCAGTGATGGTCTCTACTACTATTAAGTTAAAACAAAGTTACTATTGACAGAATTTTGCTTACGGAATGTCGTCTGGTGTCATTCCAGGTATATGATATAGTTAATTCATCTAAGTAAAAATTTGTTTTTTCTCACTTTTCTTTCTTACTAATGACATCCACAGGGTGATAAAGGACAAATAGGGCCCACAGGAGAAATTGGAAGCAGAGGTGCTCCTGGACAAATGGGGGAAAGTGGTCCTAAGGGTGCCAGAGGAACTAGAGGTGCTGTGGTTAGTATCTGATTTGTTTCCAGACCTAAGTTCACTGTGGATGGAAAAGAAATGTATCCATGTCCTTAAAGTTTCATCCCTTGATTAATTTTACAGAGAAAGCAATAGTTCCATTGAAAATAATCTACCTCCATGGGCTGCAGAGAATTGTAAGCATTCCACAGTACTTAAATGGCTTAGTGGTTTCTGGACACGGGAAAGGGAAAGGGGAAAAAAAAACTCAAAATGGAAATAAAATATGAAATGGAGTTTTAAAAATATCAGATTATAACTCCTAACCTAAGTAAGAAAGTTTCTATGCTTTACACTTAAAAATCAGAATTTAATATCTGTATAAAACTTCACTGTCAGGATTGGCAAATTGCTTTGAAAAGTAGGTTTATTTAAAAATGAGTTTTCTTTATTAGCTTGAGCTCCAAATGCTTATCTGGAGATTTTTTTTAACCAGTTGTGATCAATATCTATAACATCTAATATTTAATCTTTCGTATGCATTTTATATGGTGTTGGAAACAAGGGTAGCATGGTATTCTGAACCTATAATAGCAAAATTGTACTGCTAATATATTTGGACCTGTTCAGAAAGTCCTAGCAGAAGAGATGCAGAATATTTGTGATTTAGTGTTTAGTGTTTTTACTGTTTCATAAGTTTGTATATAAAATGCATATATATTTCCTACTCTCCATTAAATTTCACAAATGCTAGACTTTTACCACAGCCTTCTTGAGAGCATTGCATAATCCATCTGTTGTCTCCGAACAAAGTTCTGAGAAAGTTTGTCTCAGGCTCATTTTATATATTCATCATACTACTTAAAGTCTTTCTTACTTCCTTTTATTTAAATCACTAGTATTTCTCTGTTTTTGGCTTATATATTTAAAAACTTTATATAATGTGATTAATTTTTAATGAACATCAGAATTAATCTGGAGTCTTGCCATCAAAGTAGGCTCCTACTTTGGATTTTGTCTAAAAAGAATATTCACTTTTTAAATGTTGACACATATTTAACCTTCCCAGAGGTTCTGTCAAAGTCACTCTTCCCACCACCAGTACTTCCCGTTAATCCTTTTGATATTTGACAGTCTGATAAATGAAAAAGTGTACTTCATTTTCTTTCTGTTTACATTTCCCTGATTGCAGTTAAGTAATTTGTATTTTTTTTTCTAGAAATTGCCTTTTCATGTGCACTTTACATGATTTATATCAGGTTGTTTTTTTCTTATTGACCTGCAATAATGCCTTATGTATTTTAGATAATATATTTTGTTAAATGTATTATGAGATATATTACAAATATATTTCCCTTTCTGTCATTTATCTTTTAATATTGTTTGTGATATCTTTTCCTGGATAGAAGGTTAATTACATAATCAAATTTGTCAGTTTTTTACCTTACAGTTGAGGTTTTATTTCTTCATAAGAAATCCCTTTCCTACCTAAATCATATAAAAATACTCTTCCATATCCTTTTTTAAATACTGTTATGGCTTTATTTTTAACCCCTAACCTATATGAAGTTTATTTCTTTGCTATGAAATAAGTTGTAAAAAACTGATTTTCTCTTTTCCATCTTGATATCCAGTTGTCTCAAAATCATTTAATGAACAGTCAATCTATTTCCCCCTTTTCTGAAATACTACCCTTACCATAAACTAAACTCTCAAATATTTATTGGCCTGTTTTCACTCTCTCTGTTTTCCTCTGTCCATCTGTTAGTCTGTTCTTAGGTCCAATACCACACCATTTAAATTACTATACTATTACAGTATTTTTTGAGATCTCTCAGGGCAAGTACTCCGTAATTCATTTTTCTAAAAAGTTCGGCTCTTCCTATAATTCTCTCTTCCATGTGAACTTTAAACTCAGCTCTTCAAGTTCCTTTAATATTGAATCTTTCAATAGAGAAGCACTATATGTCTTTCCATTTACTTATCTTCTAACATATGCTTTAATAAAGTTTTGTTATTTCCTTCATTCTGTTATTACCTCTATCTCATTAGGTTTTTTGTTCATTTCTTATGGACTTTATGATTTATAATGCAGTCCTTTTTTCCATTATATCTTCTTATAGATGCTGTTTAAGATATCCATTTACTTTAATATTTTTACTTTATATCCACTTTAATCCTAGGTGGTTCTCATGGTTCTTTGGTTAAATAATCATATTTAGAACTTTTGGTCATCTGATATTTGATTAGGGATATCCCTATTCTGTTCCTTAATTTTCTCATCTCCTGTTTAGTTTCAAACACAAATAGGAGAGTTGGTGTGGAAACTTTTTAATAGTATGAAGCGTAAGACATTTTTAGGATTATTATTTTTGTTCTTTTCAGTTGTCTGAGTCACATTTTCAGTATTTTATGGCATTTACTAATTAGTCTTTAATTTATATAGTATCCTCATCTGCAAAATATTGATAAGGAAAACAATAATGGGATGATTATTGCACATAAGTTGTCAATCACTTCTATTTTAACACGTTTGACCAGAGCTGGAACTTTGTTCATCAAAGCATCTGAAACTATCAATGAATATGTTTTCCTTGATCCCATCATAATAATACCAAAAACTATCAGGCTATATTCTAATATTCAATGATGCACATCTACCATAAACCTTGACAGGTACAAACTACATTTCCAAGAACTTACTAGAAACCTACTGGATTCTAATAACTGAAAATATTTTTCTTAATATGATTAAGAATATTCATACCAGAAGTAAACTATGGGGACATTTTTTTAGTGGGAATTTTGTGGTTCAGAAGAAAAATAAAAGAATGCTATTTTTTGTTTTCCCATTTCATACTAAATAAAATATTATACCTCAAAAAATCTAAATTTTAAGTAGTAGGAGTACTAAATAAATAAATCAATAAACAAACAAATAATAAGAGTGTAAGTTTAATGGTTGAAACAGTTGTTTGTTTTCTCTCTAATTTTTACTTTGTTTTTTAGGGGCCTTTAGGATTGATGGGACCTGATGGAGAACCAGGAATTCCAGGATATAGGGTAATCATTCCTAATTGGAAATTAAAATGTGTGTATTACATGAAAATGGTTATATAAAGATGTCATCCTGATTATGCCAATTGAAATGAAATCTCACTAATAAACCTTTCTAATATATTTAGGCCTCAGCCCCCTAGAAAGTGAATCTTGTTTTTCTTTCAGAATATTGCAATATCTAATAGCATGGCCTTGGTGGTGTTAGGTAGAACATGCACAAATGATGTGGAGAATGTCTGCTTACTTGTCCTTTTGTTAGGGCCATCAGGGTCAACCAGGACTTTCTGGCTTGCCAGGACCTAAAGGAGAAAAGGTATGTGTATATATTGACTTTTCAATCCTAGAATTAAATATTAAATTTTTGTGTTCTTTCTGAAAATATGCATGGAAACATTTTCAAGGAATAAAAGAAACACTTTTCAACCTGGGAAGTTTTGCAAATTCTAGAAGATAAATAATAAAGGACAAAAATGTAGACGTCATTAAATTTCTTCAGTTGGTTGTTTCAAGATATTCATGAAATAATATATGATAAAGCACTTTGCAATCTGTAAAGCTTGGTAAAGTGAAATTAATTACTTATCAAAAGAAACTGTGAGACTACAGATTAAATGACTAACTAGTACATGTATACTTAAATTTTTTATGGATTAAGAATAACTACAATAGTACTCCTGTTGACTTACAATATCATTGGAAATCTGAAACTTTGAGCAAATTCCTAAACTGCTTTTTATGTAATTAAAGCAGATTGACTCTTCTTAGGACCTATAGGAATCACAAACGTATAAAATAGCCTATGCTAAGTTTTGGAGGTAAAAGATTTCCATTTAAATAGATAAAGATTTTATATTTCATAACATATTAGACAATGATAGCCTGCATATTTCAAAGGTGATTTTATTAATTTGGTTTTGTTTATAAATCATTATCTTCATTACAGGGTTATCCAGGAGAAGATAGCACAGTATTGGGACCACCTGGGCCTCGAGGTGAACCAGTAGGTCTTTTTCTAAAATTATTTTGATGTTTCAAGATAAAATACAGTGAAGATAATAGATTCACAGCACCAATCACATCTTTTCAAGAGGTTTTATTTTGTTAGTTTCGTAACATGATTTTATAGGCATACACTGTTTGTAGCTGTATAATCTAAATGAAAAATCTATTTACTTTGAGGTCAAGATCCTTAGCATAATATATAGTCTTTACTACTGTGACTTTCCAAATCTAACTTTCCGCATGAAATGTATTATAACGTTTTGCAGAGATTATAAAAATGCTGTATACCCTATACATTTTGGGGCAGATATTTCCTCAATCATCAAATTTAGATTTATTTCTAAGTGTCAAAAAAATCTGATCTGTATACATTTTTACAGTAATTTACATGCAGTTATCAAATGATTTAAGTTTTAAAATTGTCTAACTAGTTATTAGAACAAATATTCTTTAAAGATCCCTGATCTATAATCTTCTGATTCAGCATTTTACAAGATAACTAGACACCATTTTGAAAAGTAGCTATTGTAGTTTTGATTATCAAAATAACCACTTCTATATTCATGTTTGACTAAAAAAAATCTTAGAGGACATATGTAAATTAAATAGGTAAAATAAAAATGATCAGTTTATAGAAATAAATATAATTGGTTAGGGCACCTAGGTGACTCAGTTGGTTAAGTGACTGCCTTCAACTCAGGTCATGATCCTGGAGTCCAAGGATCAAGTCTCCCATCAGGCTCCTTGCTCAGTGGGTAGTCTGCTTCTCCCTCTGACATTCTCCCCTCTCATGCTCTCTCTCTCACTCGCTCTCTCTCAAGTAAATAAATAAAATCTTTAAAAAATATATTTAAAAAAATAAATATAATTGGTTAAATTTTCCATTTTCCACAGATAAGATTTAAAAAAATCCTAAAGCAGAAGGATCACATTATGTAGTCATTTCTGATATTTTGATCTGGCTGTTTGGGATGATTGAAAGTTATATTTTGTTTTAGAAATAAGAAAGATTTTAGAATTATTTTGATTAAATCAAGCTATCTCATGCAGTCTCATATTACCTATAAGAATATATAAGGTTTTTATCAAATAGGCTCTAGTCTCGCTAAAGCCCTCAGGGGGAAAGTATGGAAATAATATAAACACTTAAAGCAAATGGAAAAATATGGGCAAATGGTATATAACAGTGCTTGTTTTCCCCAGATTCAGGTATACCAGGGTCAAAGAATGTCACTGAAATATAACAAATATATTAAAAGTCTAACATAAAATGCACCATTGTATCTAGTGGACATAAGACAGATGTGAACCTAAACCAAGAATATTCTAAATCACTAATGCAGAGCCAGAGATTATTGTCTTTACATTATGTCAAATATCCTTATTCACATAGGAATAAGTTAAATTTATTGACTAGTGGTCCATTATCAATTTTATGGTTTTGCCAAATATTTCGAGTTTCTTTCCTCATATACAAAAAGTGCTTTTTCAAGTGTATTTTAGACTAAAAATTTGAACAGTTTATCATATCAAAGATTTTATATTAGGAATGTTTGGCAAAAGTTAAAAGTGTAGGTTTATTAGTTTTGCCACTACCTTAAGGATTAAAATAAATAAATACATTTTTTATTGGTTAATTTATATTGTAAAAATTTAGAAGTTCAGGGGTAACTGGGTGGCTCCATCAGTTAAGTGTCTGACTCTAGAATTTTGGCTCAGGCCATTATCTCAGGGTCATGAAATCAAGCCCCATGTCAGGCTTCCCGCTCAGTGGGGAGTCTGTTTCTCTTTCTCTCCCTCTCCCTCTACCCCTTCACCACTCCCCACCCTCTCACATATGCTCTCTCTCTCTCTTTTTCTGTCTAAAAATAAATCTTTTAAAAAATTTAGAAGTTCACAGATTAAGGAATAAATAATAGAATTTCTGATAAAGAATGATAAAGTAAGATTAGCTATTGGATACTTTTTTAAAAGATTTTATTTATTTAGAAAGAGAGAGCAGGGAGAGGGGCAACGGGAGAGGGAGAGAGAATCTCAAGCAGTATCTACACTGAGCGCACAGCTCCACACGGGGCTTACTCTCACTAACCAACCACTAACCAACACTCAACCAACTGATCCACTCAGGTGCCCCAGCTATTAAATACTTTTAAAAAGATCATTAAACAGTGTCTCCCAAAGCAGCTCCCATCCTGCCACACCCAGCAGGTATCCTTGTCCAGGCCTGGCATTCTCCAAAGTAGTTCTTTTCTTAATACACCAAACAAGTGATTTCAGCCTGAACCTGCACCCTTCCAGAGTGGCTCCTGACTGGGACAGGGGCAAGGCCCATCTAAAAATATGCCTATAACAGTTGTGGTCTGACCTTACAACCAGCCACACCAGGGGCTACCCCACCCACAACAATGTGGCCAGTCATTGCAGCCATCTGGGCCAGGGGTCAGCCCCACTTACCAACATACCAGCAATAGTTGTGGCCAAGCCACAATAGGAGGGCACAGAAAGCCTACACAGGGCACCTCTGGAGTACCCAGCTCTGGTGAGCAGGGAGAGTGTGCTTCTCGGGCCCAATAGACAACTTATACATGAGATCACTCCATCAAGACCATGAGACATAGCTGACCTACTTAATACATAGAAACAAACAAAGTAAGTCTGTCCTAACAAGGAGACAGAGGAGTATGTTCTGAGCAAAAGAACAAGACAAATCAGAAAAAGAACCAAATGAAACAGAGATAAGAAATCTGCCTGATAAGGAGTTCAAAGTAGTAGTCATAAAGATGCTCACCAACTTGACAGAAGAATAGATGAACAGTGAGAACTTCAGCTAAGACATTAGAAAAAAAAAAAAAAACCCAAACAGAATGGAAGAATACAATAACTGAGATGAAAAAAAATACAGTAGATGGAACAATGACAGATTAAAGGATACAGACAGATCAACATTCTGGAGGACAAGGTAGTAGAAGTCATCCAAACTGAATAGCAAAAAGAAAAAAAGTTGGAAAAAAAAAAAAGAATAGCTTAAGGAACCTCTGGGAATATATCAAGCATACAAAATCAACATAAGTCTCATAAGTAGACCTTAAAATAAAGAATGTAACAAGACAAAAGGAAGAAATAATAGATGAAAATTTTCCAAACCTGGGGAAAGAAACAAACATCTAGCTGCAGGGTGCACAGAGAGCTCCAAAAAAGATGAATCCAAAGAGGTCCACACCAACAGAAAATAAGATGTCAAAATTAAATATAAAGAAATAATCTTAAAACAGGAGGAGTAAAGCAACTGGTTACATTAACACCCATAGGACCATCAGGTCATTTTTCAGCAGAAACTTTGCAGGCCAGAAAGGAGCAGCCTGATATACTCAAAGCACTGAAAGGAAAAAAAACCTATGGCCAAGAATACACTCCCTGGCAAGATTATCATTCATAATTAAAGAGATAAGGAGTTTCACAGGCAAATGAAAGTTAAAGGAATCCATCACCTTTAAACTGGACTTGTGAGAAAGGTTAAAGGGACTTCTTTAAGTGGAAAAGAAAACACCATAACTAGAGATCTAAAAATTATGAAAGAAAAAGCAAACATAGTAAAGAGAGTTGTTCAACCATTTATAAAGCTGGTAGGAACGTTAAAAGACAAAAGTAGTAAAAACAGGGCACCTGGGTGCCACAGTTAGTTAATGTCTGATTTTTTTTTAAATTTTTGCTCAGGTCATGATCTCAGGGTCATGAGATTGAGCCCTGTGTTGGTCTCCATGTTAGGTATGGAACATGCTTAATATTCTTTCTCTCCTCATCTCCCTCTGATTCCCCGCCCCCAAAAAAGACAGTAAAAGCAACTGTATCTATAGTAATTACCTAAGGGATATATAAAATAAAATATGTAAATTATGACATCAAATACACAAAATGTGGGAGGAGGAAAATAAAAATGTAGGACTTTTTTGTTCTTATTCTTGAACTTAAGTGTTCTTAATGTTCTTGAAGTTAAGTGACTATCAACTTAAAATAGACTGCTAGGTACTATATTAGGTGTTAAATATGAAACTCATAGAAACTACAAAACAAAAACCTATGAAAGATTCACGAAAAAAATAAGAGAGAGAAAAGAATTCAAACATACCACTAAAGAAGAGCATCAAATCACAAGGGAAGAGAACAAGAGAAGAATAGAAAAGAACTACAGATACAACCAGAAAACAATTAACAAAATGGCAGTAAGTACATATCTTTCAATAATTACTTTAAATGTAAGTGGACTAAATGCTTCAATCAAAAGGCATAGGGTAACTGAATGGATAAGAAAAACAAGACCCATCTATGTGCTGCCTACAAGAGACTCACTTCATACCTAAAGACACACATGGATTGAAAATGAAAGGATGGAAAGGAAAATATTCCATTCAAATGGAAATGAAAAAAACCTGGGTAGCATACTTATACCAGATAAAATAGACTTTGAAACAAAGATTGTAACATGATATAAGGAAGGACATTACATTATGATAAAAGGATCAATTCAACTAGAAGATATAACAATTGTAGATCTCTATGCAGTCATCTTAGGAGCACCTAAATTTATAAAACAACTATTAACAGACATAAAGGGAAAAATCAACAGTAATACAATTATAGTAGGGCACTTTAACCCTAACTTATATCTATGGATGGATAATCCATAAAGAAAATCAGTAAGGAACAATAGCCGTAAATAACATATTAGACCAGAGAGACCTAATGAATATATACAGAACATTCCATTCAAAAACAGCAGAATACTCATTCTTCTGAAGTGCACATGGAATATTCTCTAGGTTAGATCACATGCTGGGTCACAAAGCAAGTCAATAAATTTAAGATAGATGAAATCATATCAAGCCTCTTTTCTGATTAATTACTATGAAACTAGAAATAAATACCAAGGAAAAAACTGGAAAAAAACACAAGCACATGGAAGCTAAACAACATGCTACTAACCAAATGAGGGATCAATGAAGAATTAAAGAGGAAATCAAAAAATACCTGAAGAAAAATGAAAATAAAAACAGTATCCCCCAGTCTACTACATACAGTTATATGTCAATAAAATAGGCAATCTAGAAGAAATGGATAAATTCCTAAACATGTATAATCTTCCAAGACTGAATCAGGAAGGAATAGAAATTTGAACAGGCCCATTACTCATAATGAGAATGACTCAGTAATCAAAAAAACTTCCAATAAACCAAAGTCCAAAACCAGACAGCTTCACCGGTGAATTCTACCAAATGTATAAAGAAGCATTAATACTTATACTTCTCAAGCTACTCAAAAAAAAAAAAAATTAGAGGAAGGAATGCTTTCAAATTCATTCTGTGAAACTAGCATTATCCTGATACCAAGACCAGATAAAAGGCAGTACAAAAAAAAAAAAAAAAAGGAAAGGAAGGAAGGAAGAAAATTATAGGCCAATATCATAGATGAACATGGAACATAGATGCAAGAACATAATGCAAAAATCCTTGACAAAATATTAGCAAACAGGATTCAGCAATACATTAAGAAGATCTTATACCACAATCAAGTAAGATTTATTCCAGGGATGCAAGGATGGTTCAGTATTTCAAATCGACTTGATACACACATTAACAAAATGCAAGATACGGTGTCTGGGTGGCTTAGTTAGTTAAGCGTCTGCCTTCAGCTCAGGTCATGATCCCAGGAGATCAAGACCCACATCAGGCTCCCTCCTCAGCGGAGAGCCTGCTTCTCCCTTTCCCTCTGCTGCTTCCCCTCCTTGTGCTCTCACTCTCTTTCTGCCAAATAAATAAATAAAATCTTTACCAAAAAAAATGGAGGATAAAAATCATATGATCCTTTCAACAGATGTAGAAAAGCATTTAACAAAGTTCAATATCCACTTATGATGAAAACTCTCAATAAATACCTCAATGTAAGAAAGGGCATATAAGACAAACTCACAACTAACATCATACTCAGTGGTGAAAGCTGAAGCTTTTCCTCTACATCAGGAATAATAGAAAGATGCCTACTCTCACCACTTCTATTCAATATAGTACTAGAAATCCTAGCCATAGCAATCAAAGAAGAAAAAGAAAGAAAAAAATATCCACATTGGTAGGACAAAAGTAAAACTGTCAATATTTGCAGATGATATTATATTATAAATGGAAAATAAATATTTCACCAAAAAGCTATTACAACTCCTAAATTAATTGAATAAAGTTTCAGGATACAAAATTAATAGGCAGAAATCTGTTGCATTTCCATATAGTAATAACAAACTATCAGAAGGAGAAATTAAGAAAACAATCCCATCTACAATTGAGTCAAAAATAATAAAATCTCTAGAAATAAATTTAACCAAGGAGGTGAAAGACCTGTATTCTGAAAACTCTAAGACATTGATGAAAGATCTAGAGATGACAAAAACAAGTGGAAATATATACCATGTTCATGGGTTGGAAGAATTAATATTGTTAAGATATTAATCCAAAGCAGATACTATCCAAAGCAGCCTATAGATTCAATACAATTCCTAGCAAAATTCCAACAGGGTTTTTCATAGAACTAGAACAAATGACCCTAAAACTTGTATGGAATGACAAGACCCTAAATAGCCAAAACTATCTTGAGAAAGAAGAACAAAGCTGCAGGTATCATGCTGCCTGATTCAAGGCTGTGGTTATCAAAATAGTATGGTACTGGCTGTGGTTATCGAAACAGTACGGTATTGGCACAAAAATACATACATACATCAATGGAACAGAATAGAGAGCTCAGAAATAAACACACACTTCTATGATCAATTAATCTATGACAAAAGAGGCAAGAATATACAGTGGGGAAAGGATAGTCTTTTCAATAAATAATGTTGGGAAAACTGGACAATACATGTGAAAGAGTGAAACTGGACCACCTTTTTCCACTATGTACAAAAATAAACTCAAAATGAATTAAAGGCCTAAATGTAAGACCAGAAGTCATAAGAATTCCAAGAGAAAACAGGAGTAAACTCTTGCACATCAGTCTTAGGAATATTTTTTGGGGTCTGTCTCCTCAGGCAAAGGCAATAAAAGCAAAAATAAACAATTGGTATTATATCAAACTAAAAAGCTTTTTCACAGTAAAGAAAACCATCAAAAAACAAAAAGGCAGCCTTATAAATGGGAGAAGATATTTATAATGATATATCTGATAAAGGATTACTATCCAAAATACACAAAGAACTCATACAATTCAACACAAATAAAATAATCTGATTTTTAAAAAATGGATAGAGGACCTGAATAAGTATTTTTCCAAAGAAGACATATAGAAGACCAATTGACACATGAAAAGATGCTCAACATCACTAATCAGGGAAATACAAATCAGAATCACAATGAGATTTCATCTCACAGCTGTCAGAATGACTAGCATCCAAAAAAAAAGAAGAAAGAAAGAAAGAAAAAATGTTGACAAGGGTGTGGGGGAAAAAGTAACCCTCATGAACTGTTGGTGGGAATGTAAATAGGTATAGCCACTATTTAAAAAAGTATGGAGATTCCTTAAGAAATTAAAAATAGAAATAATGTATGACCCAGCTATTTGACTTACAGGTATTTATCTGAAGGAAATGAAAAACATTGAAAAGATACATGCACCTATATGTTCATTGCAGCATTACTTACAATAGCCAAGATACGGAAACAGCCTAAATGTTTACTGATAGATGAATGGATGAAGAAGATGTATAAGTGTACACACACACACACACACACACACACACACAATGTGATATAACTCAGCCATAAAAAGGAGTGATATCTTGCCATTTGTGACAATATCGGTGCACCTAGAGGGCATTATGCTAAGTGAAATAAGTTAGAAAAAAATACTGTATGATTTTACTTATATTTGGAGTCTAAAAAACAAAACAGAAACAGAAACAGACTCATAAATCACAGAACAAACTGTCCAGAGAGGACGGTGCAGAGAGGTGGCTGAAATAGGTGAAGGGGATTAAGAGTTACAAACTTCTAGTTATAAAATAAATAAGTCATGGGAATGTAATATAAAGTACAACATAGTGCATACGATCAATAATATTATAATAACTACATATGGTGACAGATGGTGACATATGGTGATATTCTGGTGATCACTTCATAATGTGTATAAATGTTGAATCACTATGTTGTATGCTTGAAAAATAATATAATATTGTATGTCAACTGTATTTCAAAAAATATGCCTATCCATCTGAAAATTTATATTGTTTAAGTGGACTTCATTTCTTTAATATTTTTCTTTGCAGAATCATTATGAGATTCTCTTTAAATAATTCCATGCTTATGATATTCTTGGTATTATTGAAATTCAATCTTTTGAAATTATTTAGTGGAACTAAGCAAATAATTATATATCCGGTTTCATATTTTTGGAAAAAAAATTCTGTGCTAACTGTATTATCTGCATTCACAAATACTTGGATACAGCTGTGAAATTGATTATTTTTGCATGTGGTCTCTGTAGGGTCCTGTTGGGGAACAAGGAGAGAGAGGAGAACCTGGAGGAGAGGGCTATAAGGTAAATACAGCAAATTTCATTCCCTGCTTCTAAATCGAATTAGTGTTCTCTGTGATCTTTCTCAGTTTCAAAAAAAAAAATAAGCATCACTGAGTTATTAGTAACATCTTGTGGTTTTGATCCTAGAACAAGCCTAGCTGTTTGTACTTTCCGTTCCTTCTTTTTAAAATCATCTTCATCTTCTCCTATTGCTGTTTTTTTCTCATCATTCATATCTCAGCTGAAATGTTACATCCTGAAAGACCTTCTCTAACTGTCCTTTCTAGCCCTCACTTTATAACATATTTAATGCTATCTATATTTTCTTACCTCTTTTTTTATACATTTGTGTAGGTTTTGTTTGTTTGTGCATTGCCTATTTTTCCCTAACAAAAAGTAAGATCCATGAAAATAATACTCTTTTCTGGCTTCTTCATCATATCCCAAATTTCTAGAACATAATATTCCTGGTGTACAGCAGGAATTCAATGGAGTTGTCAAATGGGAGAATGAATGTCATATTCTCAAGCCTTCTGTCAATTCTTGTCCTCTTTCATTCTTAGAAGTATTTTATGAGACCAACTTCATCAGCCAAAATTATATTAGGCTAAGTGTAGAATTTATTTTGTGTCATTTTTTATTAGCACATTTGTGTTTAAGATGTTGTGTATTCTTGCCTCATCTCACTTTTCTTCCTGTTTACAGTGTCAACAGCTAAACAAAATAGTCATCTGTTAGCTCTCTTCCTATAGTTTCTATGTCGTTCCTTTGCTCGCAGCATTCTGTGCCTACTCACAGTATTATCTAATCTTTATTTACATAAATCCTATCTATCTTTTATATTCTAGTTCAAACTCCTTTTTTTCACAACTCACTCTAACAGGAATATTTTCCTATTCTGTAGTCCTATAATATTTATTATTTATAAAAATCATTCAACAGAAATATTTTACCATCTTCTGTTACTGATATTTTACTAATTATTGTTAAGTGCAGATCTCTTGGCTCTCCAATTTGAGTATGACTTCTCTCTTTCTTCTACAATGTTTTGTTTTGAGCTTTGTACATAATTGTTTATAATATGTATATAACCATTGTTCATTTTTAATAATGAAGTGATGGGTTATTTGAGCCAATATGCTCATATAAAATTTCATATAATTTTTATTATATAAAAAATTTATATAAAATACATATATTTTATATAAATATATATATAATTATATATATAAAATTTCAGTAATCATATCTGAAATGAAGATTTAAATAGCCAGATTCAATGAACAAGCTGGTAGGTAGATAATTATCATCAATAAATTGATTTTCTCAAACTTGAAATCTGAAAAATCAATTTTCAGTTCCTAAAATTCTCTTTGAAGCAAATGTTGAAAGAAGCTCTAAATGTTTGTGAAATTGTTGTGGTGACCATCTTGCATTTCTTCTATTTTTAGAGAAACATTTTTAGAACATTATACATATATTCTCTTTCAAATTTATGTAACATCTGTATCTATAAGTGTTTATTAATCCAAGGAATCCAGTGTATTTAGTTGAAAATGGGTTTTCTTTGGGTTGAAAAGCCAACCCACTGCTTCCAGAATAATTTGAGAAGCATCTTAAATATCCTTAGTTTTTGCTGTGCATAACTTGACACATTCTCAGGAAAATCAGGTTCTTGAGATATCTTCTTTTGGCCTCTACCAACTACAAAACATTTGGTAGCTAACAGCAAATTTACTGCCAAATGAACAGGTAAATTCTTTTGGAAGAAGAAAACAATCTCTTCACCTGGCTAGCGGAAGGAAAACCCTGCCTGCCTTACTCTGGATAGTCACACCTTATTCAGAAATCCTTCATCAGAGAACTTCTTCTAGGGCTACTGTGGAATCTGTTTCTCCTTCCTCCTTCCACAAATACTCATGAAGTTTTCAGCTGTGGCTATTTCATGAATTAGTTTGATCCACATCTTCCTTTCTGTCTTATTCTACCCTATGTCCTTAGGTTTTAGAAGTCATTTCATCATTTGTTGCTGTTTTTATTCTAAACAAGCCATCTTGACCCAAACAGCCACAGTAATTTTATTGCTTAGACATCTGAAAGCCATGAAATATCCGTACTTGTCCCCTGCCAAGCTTTCCCAAGCACAAGTTTGATTCATACAAGGGAAATATGCTTCATTTAGTTAGATGATTCTGTTGTAGCCTCAGGTGAAATTTTTAAATATTTGCTTTTCTGTAATTTTTAAATGTATATACTATCCTTTAACTCAAGTAAAATGATGGTTAGCATTGTCACCAAGCTTTTTTGTTGTGCTAAAATACACATAATATAAAATTTGCCATTTTAACCATTTTATTTTATTTTTTTAAGATTTTATTTATTTGAGAGAGAGAGCACGAGCAGGAGGGAGGGACAGAGGGAAGGGGTGAAGCAGATTCCCTGCTGAGCAGGGAGCCCAGTGACATGAGGCTTGATCCCAGGACCCTGAGATCATGTCCTGAGCTGAAGGCAGACGGTTAACAGACCGAGCCACCCAGTCACCTCTATTTTAACCATTTTAAAGTGTACAATTCAGAAACTTTTAATTCATTCTCAATACTGTACAACCATCACACACTACATAGTTTTAGAACATTTTCATCACACCAAAAAGGAAACACCATACCCATTAGGCAGTCACTCTACTTCTTCCACCTTTGGCAACCATTACTCTGCTTTATATCTCTATTGATTTGTCTATCCTGATTATTTCATATAAATGGAATCATACAATATACAGCTTTTTGTGTCTGGCTCCATTTCATTTAACATAATATTTTCAAAGTTCATCAATGTTGTAGAATATATTAATACTTCATTCCTTTTTATGGCTGAATAATCACCAACTTTTTAAAAAATATTTTTATATTCACAAATATTCTTACAATTATGTGAACTCATGATTATCCTATTGGATAAAAAAATGGAATGGGGGCACCTGGGTGGCTCAGCCAGGTAAACATCGCACTCTTGGTTTCCCCTCAGGTCATGATCTCAGAGTCTCGAGATGGAGCCCCACATTGGGCTCTGCTCTCAGCAGGGAGTCTGCTTGAAGATTCCCTCCCCTTGTTTCTTTCCCCACCAGTGCACAGGCATGTGCTTGCTCTTTCTCTCTCTCTCTCTCTCTCGAACCAATAAATCTTTAAAAAAATGGAATGGATAATACAGATTATGTTTCCATTTGTCTACGAACAATTAAAGAAATTTTTAAAGATCTTTTTCATAGTTCTTTTTTGTTCTTTTTTGTTGTGCTAAAATACACATAATATAAAATTTGTTCTTTTTTCCTTTTCAAGAAACTGAGAATTATAAAAATCGTATGTTTTGATCATTGTCATCAATAAATACTAATTAGGCATCATTATACATGCCAGATCTTAAGCGTCGTGCATAATAAAATCCCTGGTCACTCATCACGTATTTGAATATCTGCTATGGGCCAAGAGCAGAACTAGGTGCCATGAATTTAATACTGGACACCCTAGGCACAGTCCCTATGTCTGTGGACATAACATGTAGAAGACATACAGAATAAGAACATTTAACCAGTATAAAAACATATAGTAAATTATAGTTGTCATCCAGAAAGCTATACATTCCATTGGTCAAGATAAATTCATCTGAGTCTTGAGAAAACCAGAGTACATAGTGGGAATAAGTTTTTTAAAGCTATGTGCAGAAACATACCCAAGATTAACTCAGACTAAGCCTGTATGAGATGAAGTCCTAGAAATACATTGAATAAATTATGCTCCAGGTCAGACTCCATTTCACTTTGGTTTGGCAAAGTCCATAGCATCTTTGCACACAATAAGATAGCAATATTTAAAACCTCAGTTGGCTATCACTCATTACCATCAGACATGCATATCCACATTGCTATTGGATATCATCACAGGTACCTCTATGTCAGTATGTTCTATACAACAGTTTCATCATCCTCCCCAAATTTGATCCTCTTCTTTCTATGTCCCCAATTCAGTAAATGCTACCATCACGCAGTACAGTGGTCAACCCAATAAGGAATCGTTCCTCTTTGTCTCTTTCTCTGTCTGTCCTGGTCTGTGTCTCTCTCTGTTGTTCTCTCTGTGTATCTGTTTCTGTGTGTGTCTGTTGCTCCCACTGTGTTTCTTTCTGTCTCTGTCTTTCGCATCCTTTCCCTCCTCTCATTCCGTTCTCTCTCCTCTCATCTATCAAGTTCATTTGACCACTTCTTTTGACATCATATAGCTCTGGAATCTAGCCACTTTGCCCTATGTTAGTGTAGGTTTCCTCATTTTTGCCTGAATTACTTTAGTAACTTCCTAACTAGGCTCCCTATCCCTAGTTATAGCCCTTTCAAATCCATTCTCCTCTTAACATGTTCTGTCAGATGAATCTCCATTTAATCCCCCATGCTATCTCCTCTGCCAGAATGTCTTCTTTCTACTTTACTGCCTGGAACATTCATCCTTCAAGATTCATCACTTCCCTTGTAAAATTGACCATCTACCTCCCCTTGGCCATTTAGCTCATCCCACCACTAATATAATTAGGCAAGTCAGTCATTTCCCATAACCTTGTCTACATGACTTTATAATATTTACTATAGCATATTTAATTTTTAACCCTGCAGAAAAATGGTCTTTGTCAATTTTTATTGTGATAGAAAGAACCAGAGGATTTATAGTGAAACTCCTAGAAAGGATATTTGTTTTTAGTAAGATTTGTATCCAGACTTCACAAAACCAAAGGAAGCAATTGGCTATTCGATGATCATCCTAAAAGAGTCCCTGTAAACTATAGACAAAAATGGTAGAAAATTCAATTGGACATTGATGGTTTTGAGTTTCACAGTTTGCTCATATGCTCAGCCTCACTGCACTCTGTAACTCCAGCTTTTCACCAATAGTTTCTCTCCTGAGTTCTGCTTTATAAATGACCTATAATCATTATATTTATTTGTACCAAACTTCCTCTTGACTGACCTGATTCTGTTATTGCTGACTCTGCTCATGTTTTACTGGTAAGGCCATGTGTGGTAATGGTATTCTCTTTAGTTATGTCCATGTTCTATAGAAACCTTTCCAAACTAACCTTTCTCTCTTGCCACTGTTCATCCTCTTAAAGAGGATTCCTTGGTGTTTTTTTTTTTTAGATCAGGAAGTTGGATTTTTTTTTTTTTTTAAGGAAATTGGATCTTAAAACCATAAACATTGGCCTCAAAGAATGCAAACAAAGAAGGCTTCAACTGATCTTTCTATAAGATCAATATTGTTAGCCTATGTAGACAATCCTTAATTCTCCTAGTCCAGAAAAAGGAGATGAGCCTATGGCATTCTTTCTGTAATACACAGAGAGTAGGAAGAAAGAATTCTGACAAAGAGGACAGTAGGGAAGGGGATAAAAGAGATTACATGCAGAATTCTTCATGCATATTCTGACATGCCCTTGGGTTGTTGCTAGTTTCTATTTACACACTTGAAAAGGGAAATGTGGTAGGTTAGCATTCCTTCTTAGGAGGACTAGGGTAATGATAGGTTGCTGAATATCAAAGTCACCTGATGTGCCTTGGCATTAGATACAGTAACAACTCCCAGTTTTCAATTCAATAAATCTACTGAAGTGGTATGAACTTAGTTTGTAAAAATGGAGACCATAGTTTACTTCCACAGTGAGAATAGGTTGAAGAAAGAAATTTGTTCGCAAACTTTCTATTCCTATGGTCATTTACCATATGAATTTACTGACCAAAATTACTATAAACTGGGTGGTTTAAAAAAAAAGAAATTTATTCTCTCACAATTCCAAATACCAGGAACCTGAAATTGAAGAGTAGCAGACCATGCTCCCTCCCACAGGCCCTAGAGGAGAATCCTTCCTTTCCTCTTCTGGCTTCTGGTGGTTGACAGGTCTCCTGGTGGCACCAGACACTCCCTTGTCTGCCTCTGTCTTCACAAGGCCCTCTCCTTTACTGTCTCTCTCTCTCTTTTAAGGGTACTTGTCATAGACAATTCAGGATAATATCTTTTTAAGATCATTAACTCAATGATACCTGCAAAGACCCTTTTTCCAAATGAGATCATATTCACAGGTTATGGGGATTAGGACATAGAATCTTCATTCACCCCACTACATTAACCTATGTGCAAAACAAAACTACACTTTCCATTCTTTCTCAGTTATCATAATATCTATTGGACATTATGTTCTATAACATTTCTGAGAGAAAATAATGATTTCTTATATTTAAATTGCATTTTGTAACATTTTGCTACCATTTTAAGTGATACTACCCTATTCTCTAAGTTACATGTCTCTATTTACTCTAATAATATAATCTTTTCTATTCCTAGGGTCATGTGGGTTTACCGGGACCAAGAGGTGCTGCTGGACAACAAGGGCCCCCAGTATGTTTTGAAAATACTCTTTGTAATTCTGGCATTGACAAAAAATTGATGTCTATATATCTCATTTTGTCCCTGCTTCGTATGTGATTTCTGTTTGGTTTCCTGTTAAAGGGTGAGCCAGGTGACCAGGGTGAACGAGGACTGAAAGGAGAGAGAGGATCTGAAGTAAGTTGAAATTATTTAAGACAACTTGAAACTTATTGTTGGTTTGAGAAGGCACAGACATTTGTAATTTAAATGAACATTCACCCTTCCAGAGCAAGGATCACTGTAGGCCCCTAATGAGAGTGTTGGTCAATAATTGTGCCAAAACAGGATTATTGGTTATTTCATGTGTTTTGACTGCAATCCCAGTTTCCCTTTATCAGCAGCCTTTTCTGGCTTTGTGAAAATTGCCTAAAGTTGTCCAAAACAAATGGTCACTCCTTGGGGTTTCAAGCAAAAATATCAATAATCCTTAAAACCAGCATTGAAAAATGAAAACTTATCAGTCAAACCTATTTAGTTGTAATAAGGTTAAGGATAGAAATAGTTTGACTATGGGACACAGATTCACAATTGGTGTAAAATATTTTTTTCCATATGACAAGCCAATTATCTGTTATCAAATAAACTACAAATGTATTAACTATTGCATTTAGACATGTCTTTTCTTGTGTACTGTTAAATGTTGCCTCAATCTTACTGAAGGTTGTTGCCTTATAACTTGCTTTGTAATTTGTACCATCAGTTCATTGCTCCTTGTTTTTCATAGCATTCTGATTTCACTTGCTATTGATTTTAATTTCTTGAGAAAACATACTGTATTTTAGTAATAAATCAGGTGAGAATGGATAAAAAGCAATCAATTTGAGACCACATTTCTCCTAACTTGTTAAGTCTTCATCCATACTTTGTGTTTCCTACTTGTGGAAATAAGTAGTAAAATTGGGTTGAATCTGATATTACGTAGGTGCTCACTCACCTAAAGCCATTTTGAATAGTCTTGACTATATTCAAGTCTTGACTTCCTGTGAGCTTCCTTAATAAATAAGAACTAATAAATAAAAAGTAAAAACATCCAATTGAAGGCAACCCTTAACAAGAAAAAATGCGGAGAAAGAAGGTAATTGTCCTATTTAATTGGAATTTTTAATACCCAAATTGGAAAAAATAGTGGAAAAAGCCTAGAACACTACTACTGCTTTCATTTGACTTCCTTATATTTGCATTAAGTGCCCAAGGATACAAATGCTCTCCCAAGTTTGAGCCTAAAATTTTTAATCTCTTACAATTAGCACTTTCATATTCTCAATATTTTTTTTCTTTTTTGACATATGTCAGGAAGAAGAAATTTTTGAAATATTTGTTAGTATCTATTAAAATTATGCCAATGCAATTCAAATATTCTTCTTAGACAACTACATTTCCAGCTGACATGGTCAAATCTCCCTGGGTATTAGAGCCAAAAAATGCTGAGGAAACATAGTTTAAATTCTGTATAATTCAAGGGAATTAGTTCTATCCTGCTTTGGGTAATTCTGCCATATAGTTCAAGTTACATTAAAAACCCTCTTAGAATTTAAAGTAATTATAATTGCTACAAGAATAATCATTGACCATGTATTACTCACTAGGGACACCTTCAGCGGCCAGGTGGATTTTGTCCAATTGTTGTCATCTTGTTTTTGCAAAGCTTCAAATTTGTTTTTTAAATTTGCAAATGGCCCTTTAAAATCATCTGAACCACCCTCTCTTTTTCAGATGAAGAAATTTAAGTCTCAGAGAGATTGAGTTACCTAAGATCGCAGAATTAGTTAACAGAACCAATGCTAGAAATTTCCTGACTCCCAATGTTATACAAAAGCCTTCTATTACTTTGAAATCTTTTATAAATTAAGGAAAATATGATTAATCTTAACCAACTAACTTATTCATTGGACTCTCATGCATGAGACAGTGGGCAACTATAAAGAAAAAGAGCAAGCCAAAACCAATTGCACAACCACTACATTTTTAAAGACTTTTTAAATTCAAATATAGTGAACTGTCCTATAATGGCTTTCAAAGACTAAGACTCAAGCCAAAATCTTATTTTTCTTCCAAAACAAAATTCCAGATTCAGTAAATTGAAATTTCTTGGTTAAGAAAAAAGAAGAAGAGAGAAAGAGTAATTATTGTCAAACTCTAAATCTGTGTGTATTGATTGTAAACCTGTACTCTCTAACAAAGTTAGAACTAACAATATATCAAGGTAACTGTTTTTCAGTTTCACTTAAATAAAAAACAAACAAGTGTTGGACTATAATGACACATTTTAAAATGTCTTTTATCAAGAGAATTAGACTACCTTCTCTAGGAGCCTATAAACTGGTACAATCTCCGTGAAAGGAAAGCTGTTTTAACTGGATCCAATTTCAAATGGGCCATTCTGTTTTTCAAAACTTGCCAAACAAAAGAGAAAGCACAATTTTATGCTTACTCTAAATAATACATGTAAAGTTCATTTGCCTTGCCTATTATGAGAACAGAAAAGTCTGTTTGTTCATTTATGGGGTACTTAATATTTAAATAAAGTAATATGAATAATTTAAGTTTAAAAGTATCATTAGAATACTATGTTTGAATTCTGGGTATTGGTTAAAGAGTGACTTTTTTCCTTCGTAAGATAGCAACTCAGTCATGTATCAGCACCTTATATGACATATTTTCTTTGTCTTTGGCCCAAATCTATAATTTCCTATTGAAGTAGACCAGTATAGGATTAATGTTTAGTAATGTTTGGCTCTTAATTTATTTATAAGTCAACAATTCCACTTTGAGATTTTTTTAATGTACAATTTTTTTAAAAATATCAATGTTCTACACTTTGTTGATCTTTATGCATTTAAAATCTCAATTGTAAGACTATGCTTTTTCTAGCTGGCCTACTTCCTTTGAGTATGATCATAATAATTGTAATAAAGAACTCTTTCCTGAATTGAACATCTCAAAACAGCAGACTATAGTTTTGTTTGCTAAATACTTTTTGTCTTGAATAGACAGATTTTGCCACAAGTGTCCTATTACAAGTAGCAAAATATAGTTTAAAAATAATTTTTATAGTCATACTTTCCCTTTCATGTTATTCTGTAGGGAGCTGCTTCCTGTTTCCCATTCAAGTCTGAAAAACATTCTGATTTTCATAATAATAGACCCATACATGTAGATTTCAGTATACAACATTTAACTTTTCTGAAATAATCCCTAACATAATCATGATCCAAAAATGTAATCAGTCTGTGATGATATGTGAATCTCTTTGTTTTTATTTTGTTATACAAACATTTGAAGTAAAACCCTTACTTATATGTGTAGTATATCTGAACCATAAGGCATAAAATCAGGTATACTAAAATATAACTTTGTTTTTTGTGTTCTTTATAATAGAACTTAACATCTGTCCTGAGTGCCTAGCCTGCCTGGTGGTAGAAACCTAATGGGTTGAAGACAAAAAAAAAAAAAAAAAAAAGGAAACCTAATTGGTGGAAATCTAATCAATGAGTGCCTTTAACTCTAGCCACACAAATATCCTACATTTGATTTAGAGTTTTCCCTATTCACTCCCTTGTCAAGTTTATAGTTACATTCTGCGTAGTAGTGGTGGGGAAGAGGAATGGAAGGTGAGTGTGGTCTTTGGTCATCTGTCAACCCTAGTATACACTGAAATGCTCATCATCCATGTAGGTCCTCAGTTGCCATCATCCCACCATGCTGAATCTACCTTGACCCTTCCTTGCAGAAGAAGCTCTTTAACCCATGCTGACATGTATAGCTATTTTCTGAGTATAGAAAAGGTACAAAGACTCCTTACATAGGCCCTTAACAGCTATATGCTCTATTCTTGGCCCTGTGGAAATACATTCTGCTAATTACTATACCATGCTAGGTGCTTAGGGAACTCAGACTTTCTCAAGCCCACCGGCCTACACATCTCAGGCAGAAATTTCTACTCTATTGCTGACACTCAGTGCAGTTTATGTGGACTTCAAAATGAAGACTTTAGTCTCCCTAGCCATTGTCTCCATGCTCAAATCCCCACACTTCTCTGAGGGTATCATTCCTTCTACCCACCCCAGGACATGAGGACAGAGTGAGGTGTGAAGGGCCCGTCTCAGAGACTCCCATCAGAACCAAACAATCTTGCTTCTCTACTTCTCTTCTTACATTTCTCCAATTTGAAAATCTTTATATCCCCTTAAATAGGAAAAATTTTCTCTTACACTATTATAATTCTGAGTCTGTTCTTTATGGCAAAATGTATGACTTGAATTCTTTGTCAACTTGGTTTTTGATAATCAAATATAGACTTTAAATATTTAAAAATCAGGCTTTTGCTTTTAAAAATATATTCTTCCCAAAATATTATATCCTCAAATTGTTACTCCACCATGAGTTTCAGAGGACTATTTTGAAATTCATAAACTAAGGAATAGTCTATTTTGAAAACCTAAAATCTAGAACAGATCTATCACTTTGCCTAAAAACAAATACTGTAAAGGAAAAAACACTCTTGTTAATATATCTGAATATTATCACAGTTCATATAATATTTAATAAGTGCTATTAGAGATAACTGAAATAATTTTTTCAATATTTAAAATCTTATTTATTTTACTTCCTTATTTTGTTCTAAAAGATATATTATATTTTAGAGATCAAATAATTCTAGGAATTGCATCATCTTCAGCTAAGTCAGATCATCTACTGTTTCTTTTCCTGGTTTCCTTACCCTAGGAAGGACTTCACATTAGTGAATTTTTAATGCAAGTAAATTAGTTTTCCAAGCTGGAGGTAGAACTCTTATTGAATATATCTCCCCATTATCAAATTCCTACAAAGTTGGATTTTTATTTCTTACAGAAAATGTCCTTTTTTTCCTATGACTGCATGTACTATTTCTTCTTGAAATGTTAAGATCATTTTCAGGGGATGTAATATGTTATGAAATTATTTACTTTGTTATTATTGTCAACTTGAATCTTTGGCATGATTTACCTTTAAATTTGAATAACTTAACATCCCATTTTGGTGGAATTGTTCTGTTTGTGAGAACTTTCAGTGACTTCTGAGAAATGTGTCTGGTAATGACAATATGCTTCTTTTTCTTGTTTGTGAACTAGGTCACTCTTTTCCACATTTTTCTTTTTAAAATAATTTTAGGATATCATCAGAATAATGGCATGATTCTCAAAGGGCAAAGTTCCTAACTATCCTGGCAGACCAGTTACTGCTGAATCAATTATGATTTAAAACATCTCACACATGGAAAAACAAAGAGTTCCGTGGGAAATAAATATCTTTTCTTTGATTCACAAGTATGTTCTTCTCTCTGCTTCCAGATAAGCACATTTGAGGCTATTGGTTCATGTCTCTTACGACATTGTGAGTGTCTTGGGATCAGTAACTTTGCCTTTGCATCCCCAGCACATACAAAATAGTCAATAAATGTTTATGAAATTAGTAAACCATTTAGCCACATTCAACGGGAAGACAAAGGCCCTATCTGAAAACATGAACATTTATTGGATAATATTCAGTTCCCTTTTAGAGCCAAGATTTAAATTCTTAAATCCTAGGATTTGGAGCTAGGTGGAAATTCATAGATTATCTGGTCAAATTATCTTGTTTTCAGATAAAGAAAATGGCTCCCAGGCAATCTCAGTGGTATACAGCTAGCCCCTGGCAGGACTGGCTGCAGCATCCCAGGCTCAGGGTTCTTTTCTATGCCTTCAGCTTAGAGAAGTTTATTAAAATTAAGTGACAATTGTGCTTCACATTTTTAGGGTCCTAGGGGGAAAAAAGGAGCTCGTGGTCCTTCTGGGAAACCTGGGATTCCTGTAAGTAGCAGGCCCTTTTCATCTTTGTTTTTCTAAATAGAATTGGCAGCTTCAGCAAGCAGAAAAGTTTGGGGCCAATTATGACAAGTGTTGGATAAATCAGCTTGTCTTCAAAAAAAATTTAAGCCCAAGCTGGAACACAGAGGGAACAAAATATGACCGTTAGCTCAAAACCAGGCTTGCTATTTAAGTATAAGTCTCTGCAGTTGAAGAATGCTATTTTCCGGTGTTATGGAGCTCTCTCTGTGGACTCATCCTGCTCTCTGATCATGACTGAGAACAGGGAACTTGAAATATGACTAAATGATTAGTGACAAAGGTCAGAGATCCTCAAGCATGAATAAAAAGCATGAGCTGGATTGTACTTGAAGGACGCCTCCTTTCAGTTTCCTGGCAAACAGAACAGAAAGTCTTAGAAGAAAATGCTTCAAATCATTTCATCACAGAACAAAAATTAATTTTACCTTAGCCATCAGTTTCCTCTGGCCAACCAAATTATGTGTTGACTGGCTTATTAGCAAAGACTTACTTCCTGCTGGTCTTCCATAGCCAAGGGCTGGATGCCTACTTTGGGTGGCCTCTGTTGGTTCAAAAAAAGAAAAGAAAATGAACATAAAAGCATACAGATCAGAGATTCTTACAGATAAAATCCACTTGCCCAAGAGTAGAAACAAAATGTTCAGACCTTTGTGCAGTCATATAATTATGTAGTTCAGAGTGGCAACAGAAAGAACTGTAATACATACACTTCTTGAGAAAGTAACAGGACATGAAGTTTTGCAAATGGTAAAATACTGTTGTATCATAAATTGACAGGTGCATATAACTTACTTTTCTCCATAGCTGGATAGAGTAGAGGCCAGGACAATGAAAAATATGAGAGAATTACACTGAAACTGAAAAGCTTATACAGTAATTTTTCATAAACTTGGCATTTCTCTTTAGGGATTTAAAGACAGGTAGCTGATCTGTTGAATACAAAAGAGAATTCAGGAAACAGGAAAATTTATCCTAGGGCAGGGTATTAAAAATGTAAACATCCCTCTCCCAAATATAAAGGTATTTGTCATTTAAACATTTGTATAGCATCTCTCTATAATCCATGTAATTTTTTATTACCAAGGGTCTTCCTGGCCTACCTGGGCTAAAAGGCATGCAAGGATACCATGGAGCCGATGGCATTTCAGGAAACTCTGGAAAAGTTGGGCTACCAGGAAAACAGGGACTTCCTGTGAGTAGAATGAATCTCTTTTTACTTTTCCTTATTTATACACATCTCTTGGGTAGACCATATATATTTTGGCTTTCTTAGTTTTGATATTGGTTCAGATTAGCCAACCACTGGCCAACAACAAAGCTTGTTGTTGTAGCCAACGACAAAGTTGTTTTGGAATTGTGTTTATGATCTTCAGGGAATGTGTGAGTATATTCTCTTGGATATTTTATATCCAACGACTCTTATTATAAATAATACATGAGGGCGCCTGGGTGGCTCTGTGGGTTAAGCCTCTGTCTTCGGCTCAGGTCATGATCTCAGGGTCCTGGGATCGAGTCCCGCATCAGGCTCTTTGCTCAGCGGAGAGCTTGCTTCCCTCTTTCTCTCTCTGCCTGCCTCTCTGCCTACTTGTGATCTCTCTCTATGTCAAATGAATAAAATAAATAAATAAATGAATAATTAAATAATATATGACATTTTTGTGCATGTAAAAGCTTGTAAATAAGAACCATAATGAAGCAAAATTTTAGCGACTACACAACGTGGCTGTGTCTTGGGTTCATCAAATATCTTGAGCCACCTTTGGCACATTTAAGGGTTGGCAGTAACTCAATGGAAATTCTGCCAAAATTCATTTTCCCTTTACTTTATAGCCTCAGTATTTTATAAAAATTGTGTGACTATTTTCTGTGTTTATCAAGTGGTGATGCAATAATATAGCTTCTCCCTGATTTTTATGCAAATCTTTATCTAATTTATTTGATCAGAAATTTAAAAATCACATTTTGTCTTCATTTAGCCATTTCTCCTCTTTCCTTCCCTAATGTCCTCATAATCCAGATTTTTTTTTTATCTAACTTGATGTTTTCACTTGAAATATTAGAATAATAAACCATGTACTTTCAAGAACCCTGTAATATTTACTCTTACATTTCTGCTATTTGGATGTGGTTTTCTATGGACCTATTTTTCTTCTGTTAAATACTAAATCAATCCTACTTGTTTATTTAAATGTAGCATGATACTAAACCTAAGCCCAAACCCAAACTAATATTCTTCTTTCACTATGATGACACGTCTCCCTTTGAAATAGTTACTTAGTCAATTAATTAAACTAAGAAACTATGAGCTAGCCAATTTCATTATTTCAGAAGTAATATAGCCAGATTCCATCTGAAAAGGTGAAAAAGAATTTTCAGATTCTATCTGAAAAGGAGTTTAAACATGGTTTCTATTTGTTTGGGAGGCAATATGTCAGAACATCAGAGCAACAGGTTAAGACCTAGAAAACTTTGATAGCAATCTGATGTTTTTAATTAAAATAGATATTTTATAGACTTCTGTCTGCCATTAACAACAGTCTGGTTGAAACAGGATTTTCTTTCATTTGAGATCTCAGTCTTTAAGGGTGTTTATGCCCTGGACCCTTATTCTCATGCTGCTCTCCAGACTTACCATATACTAGTCTTAAAATGAGGTTCAGGGGGCAAGGGCTCCTGAGTGGCTCAGTTGGTTAAGCATTGGCCATAGGTCCTGGGATCCAGCCCTGAGGGGACCCTCTCCTCTGCAGGGAGCCTGCTTCTCCCTCTCCCTCTGCCTGCGTTCTTCCTACTTGTGCTTTCACTCTCTCTCTGTCAAACGAATAAATAAAATATTTTTTTTTAATGAGGTTGGGGATTTTTAAAACAATAGAGCATATTCAATTGGCCTGAGAGTCTTTTTGTGGATTAAGTTTTATGGGGAAATGTTATAGTAAATCTTACCTTACAACTTTAGGTAAGATTTTGAGGGTTGAAAACAAAGAAAACCAGATTTCAAAACATATCATATTTCTTGCTGCTGAACACAAGTTTGATCATGGAGGTAGTACATATGTGGATGGATGGTATAAAAAATGAGCTGTAAATACTACTAATAGGAAAGAGATTTATTTAATTACTGAGAAGAGGGAATCATTTCTTATCTGGCTAATACTATTAATTCAGATACTCATTCCTGATATGGATAATAGACACCAGGATGTGTTTAATAAGAATTTCAGATAATTCAGTGTATTAGGTAATCATCAGACATTAATGACAGGTCAAAGTTATCAATTATGTTTTATATCTGTTTACTTAATGGTATATGTGACAAACAACTTTTTTTTTTCTGGCAATTATGTGACACCTGAAATTTCCCTGAAAGGACTGAAAATTCCATGGAATGAAAACATTGATTTAGGTTTCTAAAATATGAATTGTTTTCTAGGCATGAAAACAGCAATGTGGCAAGTGACTGTTACCTGCTGCTAGGTTCTAGCCAAAAAAATAGACATTTTCTAACAACTCCATACCCTTCTTCAAAAGTGATATCATGCTTAAAGGACCATAATGTAATGACTAAGAGAAGGCCAATACAGGAAATAATCAGCATAAATAAGATAACTGATTTCATTTGAGGCCACTCTAAGCCTTATTGCTAGAATCTACCGCGCTGTTTTTATTGGCTGTATGGATGAAGGATTATGCATGATGTCAAGTCACTGATTCTACATGGAACAGACAAGAATGTAGGGCCCTTAAAGCCAGATTTTGAGGCTATTTGCACACTCAGGGCTATTCCAAAAGGCAGTTAGGATTCTAGAGTATCAACCAGGGCTGTTTGGTTGCAAATAACCAGACCCATATATGTGGCTTGCCCCAAATTTTGCCCACTGGGAGGATTTCCCTTTACTGATATCTTTCAGGCTTTAATGCAGCAGCCATTCGCTTCTAGCGGGTGGTGACATTCAATGCTGATCTATCTACAAATCAGATCTGAGCTTTCCTTCCACCATACTGGTAAAGGGCGTTCTCTAGGCTGAAGGAACAGAGGTAAAGCAGTTGAGCAGGTATCATGGAAATCTTAGTTGGCTGCTTACATATTTTGTTTGCTCTCTCGGGACCTGGTAGTACCCAGTCATAATATATCCCCTTTTCATTTAGGAGGAGAATGCTGCTGCTGCACATCCAATTTTATGATTCAGTTGATCAAATATCCCCTAGTTCATAGTGGGTAATTCAGGACACATGCTCATTTGATGTCTTAAGGTTGGTTTTTCAGTTTTAACCAGAGCAAGTGCAGAACTGCATTCTAGATGGGAAATTACACGTGACAAAGAAAGGCATGGCTTATCTTCAAAACCTTATGGATAAAAGCTGTGATTCTGTTACAGGGGGTTACCAGAGGGTCCATACAGCATCTCTACCAGCCACAGATTCCTCTGTTACTATTGGTTACTATCGTTGTTCAGCTATAATGTACAAATAACAAGGTGGCTTACATATCATCCTGAATCTGCTATAAACTTCAGTCTTTCCCTGACCCCCAGTCCCCTGCCAGGATGTCCGAAATATCCTAGGTTTGGATTAGCCAAACCCAACTAAAGAAGGGTGATAATAGCAACACTAATGGGGAAGACTGTTTTATCACTGATGTTGTTTAGAATTGCCAGTATACAATGATGAAAAAGGTGTTATTGTTGTTTTAAAAATTCACTAACAATAATATATTCCCTTTCTGCTTGCACTAGGAGTGGGCTCTCTCCCATCTACATCCCCTTCGTATATCACTAACCAACAGCTAGAGGGTAAAGGAATCTGCTACAGCTTGGGGTGGGGTGGAGAAGGGCAGACACTCGATCTCAAAAACAAACAGAAAACATCCAACCAATTCTATTTAAGTTCTCATTTATACATGGTCTATATCAGAGGTCCACTCTTGGTTATCAGAAACCTATACCTGATGAACCAAATGGATCTATATTTGTATGGCCCATGAGCTAAGCCAGTTTTTAAAATTTTTAATGGTAGAAAAAAGTAAAAAGAAGGTTTTGTCACACGTGAAAATACATGAAATTTAAATTTCAGTACCCATAAATTAATTTTGTTGGCACACAGCCACAGTCATTTGTTTACATATAGCTGCTTTTGCACTACAAAGCACAGTTGAGTAGTTGCAAAGAAGACCAATGGCCTCGCAAACTCTAAAATGTTTATTCTCTGGCTCTTTTACAGAAAAAGTTGGCCGTTGTCTGGTCTGTTTGGATTATCACACTGTTCTTATTCTATAGCTTTGTAATGTGTCCTTATATTTAATAGAACAAGTCCCCCTTCTTTATACTTCTGCCACATGCACATTTGGGATTAGATTTGTTGAGTCTCTTTAAAAACCTAACATAAACTTGAACTGTCATTAGGTTTGCCTTGAATTTATAGATATATTGGGAGAAAATTCATATCATTGTAGTTATCCAATAAAGGAGACGAAATATTTATTGTTATCATTTTTATTGTGCTCTAATAGAAGAGCTCCAAAATAATAATGGCAAAAATTTGTATAATGCTAAGTATGTGCCAGGCACCATGATAAGTGTTGGACTATATTGACTCAATCGTTATAATCTTATAAGATGTATACAATTATGATCCTTATTTTATACATGAAGAAACTGAGGTCAATTATACCTCAATTTTTAAAAAAAATACATACCTACACACATACTGAGGTACTGAGAGATTGTCACTTTCATTGTCTCATAGCCACAAAAGCAGCCTATCTCTTTGCTTTTATCAATATGCAATATTGTCTCTTAATAAAGGCCTTGTGTATTCCTTTACTTTCTAGTAAGCTGTTACTATTTTATTTTATTTTATTTTATTTATACAATTCTTTTTTTAAGATGTATTTATCTATTTTAGAGAGAGGGAGAGAGAGAGAGTGGTGTGGAGAGGCAGAGGGAGGGAGAGAGAATCCAATCACACTCTGCGCTGAGCATGGGGCCTGTCATAGGGCTCAGTCTCATCACCCTGAGATCACAACTGAGCCAAGACCAAGAATCAGATGCTTAACTGCCTGTCCCACACAGGCACCCCCAGTTATTACTAGTTTAAATGTTACTGATTCAGGCTATATTCTATACAATTAGATTTTTAGAAAATTTCTAATAATTTCCTTTTGTGAATCTATTGGGTTTTTGAGGTAGATAATATCAT